AACACAACTTGATAGATCGGCGGCTCCGGCAGCATAACGTACCCATAACATAACGGCACCCCAGCTGAATTTCCCGACTAACAGTATGTCTATGATATAACGGAGTTCGGTGAGTAACCCATGGTTACTTAATGAAGATGAATACATGGTCGTTCCGTCAGGAGTTGCTCAATGCCGAATACTTTACCTTCCATTTGCTTTACGTCATCTAGAAGGTCAGATTATTTACTGACGACACTATGACACATACACTAGTGGTGTGAGGCTAAAAATATTCTAGTTTTTTTATGCTTCCCATCTATAACTAGCAGAACTGCCTTCTTTGATGACGCCCTAATGTGAACATAGAGGTGATGGCAAAACATATTAAGGACTACACAATCGCCTGGCCCGGAAACCAAGAGCAATAAGACCGGAATGCACCGACGTAATTACATGGCCCTTATTATCCGCTGAGGAAATGACTCGTTAAGAAGTGAGTATGGTATAAGTTTTGTTGCACACCTATCCATTAGGCATTATGTCTACTCAAACATACAGCTGTAATTTCACTTTGCCATCTCCTGCCTTTAACCTCCACTGATGCGTCAACATTTGCTGCTCATCATTGAGCATGCAGGAAGCGATGAGCAAAGAAAAAACATCCAAGAAATTCCTTTTCAAACTTTTAAAGTGGAGTTAAAATAACGGGAATAAAAAGCCGGAAGTTTGGATACGCGACCGAAGCAAAGATAGAAGGCGTCTTCCTGTTCAATTTCAAAGAAGCAGAATTATGCTTGATATGGGAATCATCTAAACGTACGAGACAAAGATCTTCATCTGATAAGGCATTATTGTAACCCTTCGACAGATGGTGCTTATTTCAAATCTCCACATTGTAGTTTTCTTAAGGAATCGATTAGTGCATCGTCCATGCAAAGACTACACCTAGCATACATTTACTTCCATAAAAACACAATACAATACAACGCTAGCTGACGTTTCGGTAGTATCGCCTTCTTCAGAGCCTGGAAGGGTACACTGATATACAATCTACTAGGCCAAACGCTTCAATAACACTTACACAAAGACGAAAGACTCTTTGGTAATTACATGATCAACAACTTCTCGAAAAACCCACCGCTTTTTCGTGACTTCCAATGAGGAAGTTTAGAACAGCTGATTATAGTCGCATGTGGTTGACGACTGCACCATCCCACATCAAAAATCGATGCGAACGTACGGGATCAGGTCGCGTATGACCTCCGGGCATTCGTCCCTGCTATTCATTGCAGGGTTTTTGGCATTGATCCAAAAAGCCTCAAGGAGTTTTCGCGCTGGTGTTTTGGACTCCTGTGCAAGGATATTGACTTTCACTTCAAAATCGTCTCCGCTATGCTTTTGTATCCTATGCGTGCCTAGTGGGGTGCTTCGTCTTAGTTTTCGAAGCAAAAAAAAGAAAACTAAGACGAAGCACCCCACTGGGCACGCATAGGATACAAAAGCATAGCGGAGACGATTTTGAAGTGAAAGTCAATATCCTTGCACAGGAGTCCAAAACACCAGCGCGAAAACTCCTTGAGGCTTTTTGGATCAATGCCAAAAACCCTACAATGAATAGCAGGGACGAATGCCCGGAGGTTATACGCGACCTGATCCCGTACGTTCGCATCGAATTTTGATGTGGGATGGTGCAGTCGTCAACCACATGCGACTATAATCAGCTGTTCTAAACTTCCTCATTGGAAGTCACGAAAAAGCGGTGGGTTTTTCGAGAAGTTGTTGATCATGTAATTACCAAAGAGTCTTTCGTCTTCTTGTAAGTGTTATTGAAGCGTTTGGCCTAGTAGATTGTATATCAGTATACCCTTCCAGGCTCTGAAGAAGGCGATACTGCCGAAACGTCAGCTAGCGTTGCATTGTATTGTGTTTTTATGGAAGTAAATGTATGCTGTTTAAAAACCTCGCGATTGCTGAACAAGAAAACGACACATTCATATTCCAATGCCGAGGTTAAGAGAAAGTCGATCCTGGGAACTACTACACCTAGCAGCAAATGGAAAAGAACGAACTCCCATAGCTTCCATAATAACAGAATTGAGACACATTACATATAAATAGATATAAATAGAATATAATAAAATAATGCATAAAGTTCCTTCCCTATATGGTTGGGGTACCAAGAAAAACTCACTGAACTCTGTGAGCTGTTTGTCAAAGCTGTCAGATACACTAGGCGTTCTACAATGAAAAAGTTGGAATGCATTTCCATAGCTATTACAAAACTGTTCAGATTTTTATTTACCGCTTAGCATTTTCTTAAAAGAAGGGTATTATGATAAATTCAAGTATAATTATGCATAGATATTTGCAAAAATGCAAAGCAAGGGCGCCAGTGGTGTGCTGAAGGTCAGCTGTAGTTTTGAATTTCGCAAATACCTCAGCATCATTGTGATTGTACTACGAAACTGTTTTCAAAGAAAAATTTATTAGATGGAGCTAAAAAATCGGTAACAAAATACCGTCTGAACCTGTGCAAGTATAATTCTACGTAGTTAGGAGTAAACCAATACCAGAAATGATCTCCGCCGACGCAGCAACCTATTCGCAAATGTGACAAACACCGTCGAAGTGCTCCCAGAAAAGTGAATGCAAATGGTGATGACCTGAAAACGTTCTGACAAGGTTCATTGGGAATTGCAGAAGAAGAACAATAAATCAACACCAGTACACAGCATGAGGGGTATATGGAAAAAGAAAATTAAATATAAGCAGAGTTAAACCTTATGTGGACTGGAGAAAGAAATCGTTACATATGGACTTTCAGACAGGTGAAAGAATCTAGCCTTCCAACCACGATGCAGAATTGTTCCACAACCCCCAAACCACACTCTGAAATTCTTGTTAGAGAAATATTTTCCAACCGGGATTCTTTCCATTGATGCTCGAATCTGGATTAAAACCATGAATAAATGCATGCCTATAGGACCAAACAGCGGGAAGAACCACTTTCTTTAAGCTAGAAGTTGCAATCAGAAAGGTCTTCGAAACTACCATGCAAGCTGCATGATATGCATGCTACAGAAGCTTCTAATTAAAATTGTCTATAGGCTGTGGAAAATTGGAGACTTAATATGAAGCCCAACTTATTGAGCACGCACGATTTCCTACAGAGATCCTGCAGTGCGGATAACACTCAGGCATGTCTCAGGGCGTTACATGTCTCTGAAGGCTACTATTGCTTTTTATCTAAACATCGAAACCGCTGCCCTGCTGATCGATGTTGTAGATTGTGGACCAAGGAATGTATCTACTCCATCCAAATACTCTAGCCCATTGGCAGCGTTTCCACTGATCCCTTTTCATTTCCATGAAAGAGAAACACCACTGAGTGCGTTCACCTTCACTTTCCTGTCAGTAACAGAGCCACCGGCTGGAAGCAATCGATAATACCCATTGATGCAAACTAATGGCAAACGCTCTTTTTGGCGACGATGTCGTCATATTTCCGATCGACTAATTGACCCAAAACGTGCGCTCACTTTTCTGCTGTCCTCCTATCGTTTTGCTATGCAGTTGTCTCCTAAACATCAAAAAGAAACACACAACTTTAGCGAGGACTTTGCAATCACATTTTCGGGAAATTTCTCATCTTCAAGATCCAAGAAAACATATACTTAGAGGAGGAAATGAATGGGCAGTTATCATAGAAAAGTTGACAACACATGGATCAGATGAGAACAGTACACTTGACCCTAAGGAGGACATAACTATTTTTCAACAAGGAACAAGATCAGCCAACGTAATTGCTTGTGGTTCACATCAATAACTTATACCCACACATGAAAACGATTTATCGACCGCTCAATGCAAACACGCCAACATGAACGGAGCATACCATGAGCATAAATGACGCTCCACGAAGGACGAAACAAATGGAAAATGTACTGGGACTAACGAGATTCATAACATCGTTAAGCAGCCCTGGCTTCGCGCGGATGAGAAAGGTCCTTCCTACAGAAATAGCGACAACCATCAAAGCGATCCACGTCACCTTATACAAGTGCAGAGCCATTTTCAGAATATAGCAAAGAAAAAAAAACGAATATTATCACTCCATCAATACACACAATATCACGTCTCCTATTCTACCTTTATTCTAGTACAAAACAAAACAGAGCTAATCCGACAGCACAGTTGCAGAGGCAGTACACAACACCAACACTTAACAAATAAAATGAGGAACGAAGACTGGAAATCACTAATGAAAATGTATAACTAACTACGAGACAGGAATTACTACCATGTGCTACTAACGATTCAAAGAAAAAAATACACTACAGCTTGAGTACTTTGATGACCATAACCGTATACGCGATAAACGAGAAACCAATAACGATTTTAAAAAAATCACTAAGTGCATTTCTACAATTTCACGCCACAAAACACTAAGCAGAAGAAACTCTTTAGAAAAAAACAAAGAAAAGTAACATTTTAAAAAATCGCCTTTCAGTTAACCTCGTCGACGATAACCGATGTACTCCCTTCCATTGATGAGCTTACACGGTGCTGATGAAAGATGTCATTCGGATAATGTTTCGAGACTTTCGCATTCCTAGAAGCCGCAGTGATTCAACTAGATTTTGCTTACAATGATTCCGTCTTCAGATGTGGGCCTTCGTAATCACATCGAGTCGAATTCAATGGGACACCGCCGATTCGACTATGTGCGATCACGATGATCCATGTCGGAAGAGAGAAGAACTATTAATTAACTCGAATCACTTCGGCTCTGAAGAAGATGAAAGCACCGAAACGATAGCCAAATAACGCCTTTTATCACTCTTGTATTAGCTCACCAATGAAAGAAAAAGAAAAGGAAAGAAAAAAAAAAACAAAATCGTTCTGTACAATGAGGACGCTCGAAGCCCATGAAGTAATGAGCAGACTAATAGAAATCTGCCAATAAATTGAACAAACATATGCATTAAAAAACCAGTTCATTCCTCGATATAAGACTTTCACGCTGGTAGCGGATTAGCAGGCATTTCTGGTCTATTTTCGATCAAACGGCGACCTTCGTGAGCGTTCACAGCTAGATGCATGGCCGTATACCAACGCATTATAGGTGCGTTAGCAGCCACTTCTCTGAAGGCCGAACAACCCGAAAATGCAACCATTGCACCGTACATGGCCTGTAAAGACGCAGAAACTGGCGGGAATGTGTTAAATGCACAGCAGTGTTTGCATATGTGCGCAAACACGGTGAATGCAATGGATTTTCATCACAAGTGTTTCACTTGCCACACAAGCCTTCACTGAAAAACTTTCTTCTTTCATTAAAGCTGCATTTCGCCTGCAGACGACATTTTAAAAGTCGTGGCCAAAAAAGGCTGTTTTCTACACAGTAAAATTCACTAAAATATGGCATGTTTGACTCATAGTTATACGTACGATATGTGTGTCATAGGTACGGGTATTCTTGTGTCATAGAGACAGGCTTGCCCGTCTCTATAACCCATGCAGTGATAGAGAACAATGAAAGACTGTTCTTTGTAATATAATGTACTAAGAAGTCTAAGTACCAGGTACACTGTGGATGGTGCAGATTCTCAATTTTGTGTGAGTACCGCTTAGGAGGACAAGTAATTCCATCTCGACCACATATAACGACAATTCGACCGCCACATCAGCGGACAATGAACGATATTGATCTTCCAACTGATAGACAGCATTACAGATGAGTGCATTCCCTATCACTCTGGATACGTTACATTCAATACATATTACTATGGACCACCAACCAACTACATTGCTGTTAGCATTTCGGAATGTTTTGCACAACAACAGATCCTAGTTCTGTAGCTCTTGTACCCTCCATTTCGGTATAATGATCACGTTTAATTATAGCATTGTACCAGTTAAGACCGAAATAAAAGTTGCTCGTAAAGAAGTAAACTTTATACGCCCCACACAAATGAACGTGTTGGCTTTCCGACAACTAGGCAACTTCAACACAACAAGTTCATGAACTGAGAACTTAAGAAACTTATGGAAGAGATCTGATTCTGACGCTCTACAGGTGTACATATTAGTAAATGCTGCTCCGTTAAAGTCGTGAATCTTTCGAGCTAATTGTAATAGTCAAAAAACAAATTTTACTGCTTTGAATCATGTCAGAAGAATAATAGTTGAACAATGACTGAAACTTCACTGACAGAAGGATTGAAGGAGCTGGACATACGAAATATGGTGGAGAACCTGCTGTGCTCTACGTCGAAGATCTGAAGGAAGTGGATTAGAGGGTTAGTGAAGATTAATAGTGAAGGCAACTATGAGGAATTTAGCGGTGGTGAGCAACACTGTAATGTCTCACAACCAGCGGATCTTCGATGAAGACCAGCTATGGATCGACAATTTTTGCTTCGTTGCACGGAGCCGACACATTTCTGGGAACTGCTTGTTTATCACCAACACTTGAAAGCTGATTTTAAAACAAGATATGCAGTTACGGATGACAGAAAGATATGTTGTTAGGGCCGACAAGTGTTGACCAAACGAAAAATTCAACGGCTTATACTCTACGATAGAATTTATTGGACCACTACGGTGAAGTAACTGCTGGATTCCGTCCCCGCTCTTCCAGCTAATCCCATGTCAGTTTACAAGAGGCGGATTGCAGATCCTGTAAGGAACTTACATTTTCTAGATAATGGCATAGGAAACAATAACACGTTAAACACGATTAGATCCTCAATAAAATTGATTAACGGGGACTACAGAAGAATAGATAAATCCTGTATATTCAAGAATATTCTTGCGACATTTAGAGATGGAGTCGCAATTCACCAATGTATGTTACATAGGAAACACAAATGCCACCTCAGATTATTCAAATCAGGCTCGATAAGTGACTAAACTAACATAGATTTTGACATAAGCCTGCAGCTAACCTTTCATTACTAGAATAAAGTTCACTCTATTGTGATAAGGCCCATGTACCACTTACTGGATGATAGAAGGTATCCACATAAAGATAACTGATATATAAACCTTCCCTTGGTTGAGAAGTCATTCTAGACGAGGATCAATCACATAGGAACCTGATGAAAAAACCGAAAAAGGCTTCACAAAAAAGTCATGTCATTCAACTCCAAACAAAAACAGGACGGATTGTCATGAAGCTGATGAAACGAGGCTTTTCTCAGAAACCAAGGCTTTCTCAGTAAGGCAGCAGGTGACAAGAAGCAATAACACAGGAAACTTCTTCATCGAGGAAAAAGTCATGATCAGAGCTCTAAATACAGCTCTTTGACCACTGAAACCACGCTGTTGGCATGTCACCTGTTTGTAGAGCAGAGTGAAATTGAACCGAGGACATAGAGAAAATGTGTGGTGTGTTACAATGCAATATCAAAGCCATGAATTGCAAATACGGCAACAAAATATGTTCAGAAGGTTAGCCACAGGTGCACTCGCCCAAGTAGAACTCACTGCCTAAACTACTTCAATACTAATCATCAAAAGTGCACATAAGCAGAACAAAGTGCAAGCCTCATCTAAAAATTTGTGTGCAGCAATATCGATTACTATGCCGAAACTGTTAAGTGTAGGTAAGAATTACAACTTGTATGCAGAAATGTGTTAAATGGATGCAGGACATGTAAGTTCTACCGATAGGCAATCTGCAAGAAAAATGCTCCTCAGTATGGTATCCCAAACGACAGTGAATGGTGGCGATAATAAAATATGCCGATGATTTCTGAAGAGCAGCTGGAGTACCACATTGATAAACTCACAGTCCGTGAACACCGAAGGAGTCCTAAAGAGCACTCGCTACGGTCAATTGTGATTTGCTACCTTATCATAGCAGTAGAGTGCCCTAGGAACCGAACTTCAGTTTGCAAGCAAAGAATAGAAGACATCTCTGCACCCTCTTAATCGGCAACGGTCTCACTCAACTCTTTGCACCTAATGAGCTCTTCCAAACGAATTTTTTGCTAATTACCACGCCCTTCGCGAAGATTAGGTCTTCATGGGCCAGGCCTGACGAGGCTTTTCTATTGGGCAAGTCATCAGTGGCGAAATGAGCCAGCGAAAAGGAAATATATGGATGCAATGCACTTTGTCCACTTTGTAGCCCACCTCCCAACGTATGCATTGCAGACGATTCATTCCGGACGTTATGCATTGAAGCAGTGCTGCGCATAAGATAGCAATGTTTTCAATGATTAAAACTTACTCACAGACTAACTGGAATTCGAACCATAGCTCTTGTAATAGCAACTCAGTCTAGTTCTGCTAGCAACATGCGAACGTGTTGCACGAAACATGTTTTTAATGAAATAACTTTCCTGTTCGAATAAAGCCTGAAGTTAAATGTGAACTCACAAGGTCAGCCAAATTTGGCTCATTACCACCTAAGAACTTTCTATCTGGGCCAATAGCTTCCATCCACTCAGCAAAAGCTTCGACTAGCGCCTGCCTTTCGTCCGTAATTTTGTGTCTGAACAATACAGAATATTAAAACATTTGAACTGCGATTTTGTCCAGTTCAGAAATCGACGAACTTCGCTTTGAGGCGCTTGGCAATAAAGTACACCATAAAAGCGCCCACGTATTTCGCCAAAATTTGATTCCAGGGAGTAAAGTTTTCATTCCAATCACCAAACTGTAATGATAACTTTCACAGTTTCAGTTTTTGGCAAGACGTATCGAATAAAGTCAGTTTAGCAATGTCCTGAAATAACTTACTTCTGAGAACCAATTAAAGGTTTCTAAGGCTTCCTTTGGGGTACGATATACGTTTGGGGAAATCAAATGTATAAAGCGGTCGTCGACCCATTGTCTCCACACACGTTCCTCTCTGCAATTCCAAGTTAGAGAACAACTTCAATGTTATCTTGGGATAGGCTCAACAGACTGCGTAGGTTCGCTCTGACATCTTCACCAGAACTACAGTGAAATCAGACGCATGTGGAAAAACGTTATGTGATAATACTCAAATTCAGTTCAAGCAAGGAAGTTATTTTCTAAAAGACCTAAGTTGTTGAGAAGTCTAGCGAAACACTGCTAACATGTCGAACAATTTTATGACGAGCGAAATGAAAATAGAATTACCTAACTTCATCCAACTTCTGTTCACTCTGTGAGCGGTCCATGACAAAATATTTGAGAGGGCAATCGCTAACCACCTTGCCATCACGATTCATTTCGAAGCAAGGATATAAACACTCTATATCAGGAAGGTTAAGGTCAGGACGGTGCAGATAGGTAGCCAACTGTAAGACAAAACACGCTATAATCACTTCAGTCACAGAAGGAAAATTAAAGAAAGTAGATGAACCTTGGAGATAATTAGCGAGGAATCTTTCAGCACTAATTCCCCGTTAGTAACGATGGGAACCTAAAAGCGCACATTACACGGATTCACGGAATTCGCTTCCAACTAAGCTCTTCTTGAAAAGAAAACTTTACTTACCCACAATGTGAGTTATCGGCCTCATAAAATATGGAAACGAAATTAAGCTTGTTGGTACTACAATACTAACATAGCAAATTTTAGCTGCCTACAAGATGTTTGGAAGTAAAAATACCTTCTTGTAGTCCTTAGCAAAGTGTAGCTGTGATTTCGTAACCGGATTAACTTCAACGACCTCATAGGAAAACCCGTAATAATCAAGGAACGCTCGAACCTATAACACTAACTGGGATATTACTCCGAAAATGTTATTTAGAAAACGTCATCAGCGAGATAAACACTACCTTACAAGAAAACGGACATGACTGATACTGAAAAACGCGCAGGCACAAACCACTTTTGTCGCAGATATTTGAGACCTAAACATCATATAAATCGCAAACAGAAAAAAATCGAGGATGGAGTGTGCTAAATCTGAGCAGGTCCAGAAGTGAAATACATTAAGACGAACTCTATCACGCTGACCACTGAACGCCTCTTCTCAACAGAAGAGGCAAACGAATTTTTTGTGGATTCCTCGCAACAAAAACGATATTTCTACATGTGCACAAACCGTCGTAAGGGGTCGTTGAAAGGAGATAGCTTTTCCGTCAATCAGTTACCCGAACTCGAAACCGTCACCCCACGTGGGTCGCGTTGGTATTGTGGTGCAATTCGCGAGCAGTGATCCATGATTTCATAAGGGCATTGTATAAATGGCTAACAGATAAATAGAGGCGTGTCGCAAGATTTGAGAACTGGACAAGTTATTACACATCAGCTAGGAACTGCTATTTCAGAAATCGTAGAAAACAAACACACGTAATTCCTGTAATTCCTCAGAATATTCACCACTGTTCTTGCTCCCACTGAACAAAGTTGCACAACAACACAGATCACACCACAACAATAGCGAACAGTGGATAGATTCTGGAGTGCTTCTCTCATATTTGTTTAATTAACAGTACTCTAGACCCTACTGTAGAACAAACTTGTCCTAAGAATTTGCAAGCACACCAAAGTGGAAGGTGCAGTTACCTTGCGACATACTCCTCCATCTACTTTCTTTCCACCAAATTTCTTGGTTTGAAACTCAGCATTTTCACCTATTCCACTCAAGCCGACGTAAGCCGCTGCTGCAACAGCTAGTTGTTTTCCCGCTCTCATTCCTGAAACCAATAGGCAGTCCTCAAAGTTATTAACGATATAAACCAACTCTGTACGATCGAATATATAGAGGTGCTCTACGAAGAATGGTATATGAAGGATTAACCGAAATACATGACATGTACAGCACAAAAGTTGTTTTATATGTGAAGGAAAACGTCCCCAACCAATACAGCTTGCAAATAGCTTGCTTGCAAATAGTCACTGGAGAACACCTCGTACTGAACCATCCGCATACATTCACTCTCATCTACATTTTCACTCTGACATAAATAAACTATAGATCTTTAAACCACCACATCCCATTAGTAGGCTGTAGCCTTATCGGCGGTTCTCGGATCGAGGGTAACAAGTACTGCTAGATAGGTCGATTAGAACTGGTTAAGTTCACGTGTTCACAGACTGCTCCTTGTTGCAGGCAGCGGCCAGGGTCTAATGAGAAGCCTATAGTGAGAATTAAACAGTAATTCATAGCTTCCAACCTATATAACGCGACAAAGAAGTGTCCACACATTTATCCACTTTTGCCTGCTTTCACTCGAGCATTGGTTGTCTACGCAAAGCGTTCAGTGGTATTTTGAATTTGACTCTTACCGGTCAAAGGTTTTTGGATCGGAGGTGACAAATCGTGTTATGTATATCAATCAGTTCGATACTTCGATGGCTTACTTTTAACGGTTGCGCGAGCCCCAGCCTAATCTCCACTTTTTCGGAGGTTTGCTGGTTTAACCATTGTGGTTCCTTGGAGCGCCGAGGTCAGCCATGCCAAAGTCTGCACCAGGTCGTCATCACCACAGGCAGTCGCCGCCCTTGTGGATCTAAAGATTTGCCACCATGCAACTAGTTTGGTACGAGGATGGTGACAAATCCTGGTATTGTTTTACATTTAGCTGGGCTTCCTGGTGGAAACGCCGGACTCTTTCTGTTTGGCAGACCCTGCCAGAGGAATGAATCGCCCCACTATACATCGTATCCTGGCACCCAGGAACACCTCCTAGCCACGATGCGGCGGCAAACCGTTGGGAAGATGTAAACAAATTAACTGCAAGAACTCATGGATTCGGGCAGTACTCCTTTCCCATATCACGACTCATCGTCTAACCAGAGGGACGACAATGATGGACAAACGACTACTTGCAGATTCCACACCATACAGCGGTAACAAAAACTATCTACACCACTATTCATCCCCTCTATCTTTAAGCATAGACATCACCATGGATTTGAACAGCGTATTTCGTGTAATTTCGAAAGTAAATCCCAGTAATGTTGTTAGATCACATGATTACAGGCGGCAATCAATGCCAAAAACCCTCTTAGTCAGCTAACTGTGGCCGTGAATATATCCTACTTAACATTTCCTGCAGTACAAAACCATCTTCCCATTCGTTAAAGCGAATGATAGCCGGGGAAACATGAACACAAAATAATACCGTTTTCAATAGTATGTACCCTAAATTCTCCACAAGCTGAGGGAATCTTCATCAGCAGCGAAAATCGGAATACGAATAAACCACAACGATTGGCATTCACGAAATGACCACAAATTAGTACATTCAGGATCTATGCCTAGTTTATGTCAAATACATGAACTGTTGAATTCGTAGACTACCGGCATTAAATTAGTTAGCACAGGAATTAATACTGTTATACTCATAGTGTCAAGAGCCAAATACTGCGTGTTACGTGCAACACAAAGATTCTAAACCTCTGAGCTTCAAATGTCTTCATTGTCAAAAAACCATATCATCAAAGTGCATAACGAGGAAGTAAAGAATTCAACGGATAAAAATACAGAAAACAAAATGTGCTCAATCAAACACAACGAACTGGAAATCTACAACGTAACCGCTGCAGCACGTCTGAGATGCTTACCCTTGCCACATTCGCAGAAGGACGCCATTCTGACAATTCGTGGTCGTCCTGACCACCCTCCAAAATCTTCCGCATAACGGTATTGAAACGTCTTCAATATTAGAAAAGAAACAACTGTACATAAAATAAGGGAAAACTCAACAACTCGTTCTTTTGCTGAGCAAGGAAAAAAAAAGTTGAACGCTAAACTAGACAAAGACGACAGTAGCATTGAGAGAAAGAAGGAAATGACTTTGACTGAGAGCCTTTGCATGAAAACAAAACAGTGTCCTTCTCAGTAAGCTAACACTCTTGGTCCTAAAAAAGTATTCTTTAATAGATGACAATGACCAGGAAAACAAAAACGTAAAAAATGAAAACAAAAACAACTTATAGATAATGGTAAAAGAAGGTGGCGCTAGAAATAAACAGATTGACTTAAGGAATCACCTATTTGGCATAGCTCGAACTGGTCCGTGTCATATTCCAAATATACACCAAAAAAAGGCAAGTTAGGTTCGACGCTGTGATGAGAACCATCTACTATAAGGTTTTGATAAATACAATAAGGATTTAGTCAATTCTAACACGATTTAATACCCAGAATTCGATAATGTCGTTCCCTTCTAACTGAAATTTGAATAAAATAGAAAAAATTTCGAACCATATAAAACGAAGCAAGCTTTTTGAAAAAGATGTGACACAAACAAGCCATGAGAAGTAAACTCACCAGAGTGGACAATTTTCGATGTAATTTACAATTCCCTTCCTCGAATCACAACAGTGAGTGATTTACATCATTCTTCCAAGCTCAAATTGTAATGGCTGCTGACCCCGAGTATGGTTACTGTTTCGCTTTTGTTTTGCTTTATTTTTTCGGCTTTCTTGGAAACAAGAGAGAAATAAAATCCCGCTAGAAAAAAAATAGCTTGTATGGTCCCGAAAGTGACTTATAAGGTCATAGAAACAACTTTGTAATCAATAAGTGGAAAACCTCTCAAAAAACACAGTCGGAAAAATATAGACAGCATACAGTAGGCAGTAAATAATAAGCCAAATTGTGATTATAGATACAGCCTCAGATTAACTGGGTTCGTTGCCGATTTAGGCTGACCAGATCAATTCCGCCGGCGGGTGATTGCTAATGGCACTGGTTGATAGAACTCGCTGAGAGACAGGCGGAACGAATGACCCGCATGGTGTGGTGGTGAACGCGTTAACACACGGAAAGGGTAGTATCGCGTTTGTTCTCCACCGCAGACACCTGCGGTCCAGAGTTCTGCAATATCTCAGCATCATTGAAGTTACAGGCAGTATATGTATACATATACATATATGTAAATATATGTTTAGTAAGATTAGGTGAAGGGTAGTGGTTAAATCTGTTCGCTTGTTCTGGCTTCAATTGGGTTCACTCAAGGAATGGACAGACTACTTTTGGTGTAGCGTAGTCATGTGAGAATGTACACACATAGAAGAAGGCATATAAGACTTCTCGCACAAGTTTCTTAAATAATATACAAACGCTATGATAATACTCTCCCAGCATGGGAAACATGGACGGTGGCTGTTCAAATTTTTTCCGAACTTTGGAATGCATTCGTTTCTTCATCTGGTAACTCAGTGGTAACAAAATCATAATGGTAACATTTAAATCTGTGATACTTCAGGCTTTCCTGCACACAATTGGTCACAGATGAGAAGATACGTGAAAAAGCCCCATCGAAGAAGAATTGTAGAGGCGAAAAAAAAGAAGTGCAGATAATTAATGACGAGTTCACTCAGTGGATCAAATCATACTTTCCCCATTCATTATGGAATGACGTTGACCAAAATCTGTTTCTGTAAGCACCAAAGACTATTTAAGCATAAGTATTAAGTATATTTACTTGGTACTTGACACTTGCATGGCCCGTCCTCATTGATTATGCAGGCACCAGCATAATCTCTATTTTTCGGAGTTTTGCTGGCTTAACTAAATTGTACTTCCCTGGCATCCCGAGGTCGGCCTGGCCAAAGTCTGCCCTGGGTCGTCACCACCACAGGCAGTCGCAGCCCTTGTGGATCAGAGGGAGATTTGCCACAATGTGACTGTGATTCCACGACGGTGGTGCAACTTGGTATTGGTTTACTCCTAGCTAGGAATCCTGATGGAAACACCGAACTCGTTATCAGCTAGGGAGACGCTGCCAGGTAGCAGTCCGACACCGAGGAACACCTCCGTATATAATCACATATATAATGAACAAAACAAAAAAAGTCAACGTGTACGAAAGCTACAGTCCGCATCGAAAAAAAGCGTTTGGACTTTAACCTAGATTACCTAAGGTTAGATTCTTTCGTACTGTTAGAGCGGGTTGTGGCAGCATCAGAGGTGGAGTGAGCCTCACGTACATCACGGAGCAAGATGGCGCTTGTGGAAATGGAGGAAATGCTAACCATTTATCCATTCCTAAAACTTCGTTTCATCGTAGCAGTGGACAAAATCTAATCACACTTGATATTCACCGAAACTCCATAACTACAGATTTTCAAACGTCTGATACTATAGTGGTTTTAACAAACGGTAGACATATAGAGAATGCCGTTGATTAAACAATAAATGACGGTAAACTTGGCAGAGTTTGACTAACAAAACCCTAGTCTGAATACGACTGGTCAGAATGATTGGCATTATGCTGAGGATAAGGCGGTTCAGCAAGAGAAAGTGATACCATATTTACAGCAACGGTTAGCAACTAATTTTGGTAGTGTTTAATAAAGACGGAAAAACATTTGACGACATCGCTCCCTCTGGTCGCCTCGTACTTCTACCTATAAATGGATGAGAAATTGATTTCTATATATAGTACGCTGCATGATAAATTCTTTTTGTTGTATACCAAACTGAAAACTATTAATTCGTTTCAAACTTACAATGTGTTTAGGACGGTGTGAGATAATCAAATACTTCATATTGACTCCAAGCAACGTTTGCCTTGGTGTTCAAGTGTATCCCCAGAGAATTAATGCCTCCAGACGATTAAGGTCACGCTAGCGTGGAGTGCGGCATTTCAATTAGGAGCCTTAGTAAAAAGGCTGTGTCAAGACAAATGTACGCAGCAGTGGTGAACAAGTCTCGAAATGGTTGCTCTCCCTCTGATTTG